AACTTTTAAATCCCTTGACTTAGCATTTCAGCTACCCAAGATCACCGTTATGCCAGGTCGGACTTAGTGGACAGCTATTTGGTTTGCTCTCTTTCAATCCGCTGCACATTTAATGTTCATTTTGCCTGTTTATTTTATTTCATTTTCTGTCTTGGTGCTTTGGTATTCCCGGTGTGGCTGCGCTTGATGTGAATGTTGACAAGGTGTCTACCTTCCGGAAATCGGCTATCTCGCTTATACTGCCTCCAGGAGGCAGTTGGTTGTTGCTTGGGGAGACAGGGGTGCACGGTTCTCCTGACCATGCTAGGCTCAAAAGTGGTTCCATGCATCCATTCTTTAGCGGACTACGGGCCAGCAGCCGCATTGTGTACTTATGGTACGCTTGATTCCCCACTTAGGCAGAAACGCTGATGTTTTGCTTGATAAAGGTGTGTGGGCCGGGTCCGTTAATAAAACATGGCTCCCATACACATGCCTCCCGGTCTCATCCCTTCAGGTTTGTACTTGAATCTTATCTCAAACAAATTGCTGATTCTCTGACCACCGCAGAGGATAATCAACGGTGCCCTATCTGCTGCATCGAGCAGGGTGGATAGGGGTTTGGATGCTACTGCTCAAGCCATCCCGTCTTCTTATTCCCCCTCTTACGCTTTTTCACTCTTACCGTCCCCTTTTAACTTCACTTATATCTCCCCAGTTTTCAACCCCCGGATTCTTGGCCCTCCCCCAACATGCTTTGCTAGGCATTTATCTTCTAGTTTCAACTCACATGTGAACTCGGAGCGTCACTCCTCTCCTGTCGACAAGCCCATGTCCAACCAAGCGGTCCATTCCTGTTCATCGGCTTCCATTTGGAGCCGTCGATCCTCCTTCAGATTGGCATGCCTCAATGTACGCACACTGCTACAACTCGGTCAACAGGCAGCACTTGCCCGAACATTGGAGACCCTCTCGATCGATATCTGCTGCTTATCAGAGACCCGCCTGCAAGACTCGAGCTCTGTGCTCACTCTGCGATCCCCTTCAGGTGACGCAAACAGTATTTTCTCAGTGCGCCTATCCGGTGACGATGCAGCTTCGGACACCGGCCAAGCTGGTGTTGGCATTACCCTGAGTCCCCGGGCTGAAGCTGCTCTGGTTGATTGGATTCCAATCAGTAGCCGGATGTGTGCGGTCCGATTGGCTGGCTCGTTTAAAGCTTCAAAGTCGCGCGGAACTAATAGGTGTCTATTCATCATCACTGCCTACGCGCCCACAAACTGTAGCGATGATTCGGTGAAGAACGACTTCTACCGCCAACTGACTCAGCTCCTTCGCCACAGAAGTAGCACGGACACTGTTGTGCTTGCTGGGATATGAACGCACAATTTGGCAATTTGTCCATTGATGAAATGCATCTGGGCGGTCAGCACGGTGTAGGCTCCCGTAATGATAACGGTGAGCGGTTACTTCATTTGTGTGAAGATGCTCGCTTATTTCTTGCGAGCACTAATTTCCGACACCTCACCCGCCGGAGGGTGACTTGGCGCCCACTAGCCTTGGACGCAGATCGATCACATTGCTATTAGTTACCGATGGAGAGGCTGCATCCAGAACTGCCGCTCGATTTGGAGCACATGTGTGGACACCGATCATGCACTTGTATATGTTGACATGCGGATGCGCTTTGGCGGACGCCCACGACGACGCTGTGAGCGTATTGACACCAGCCAACTGACAAAGCCACCTGTTCTGAATGCGTATCGAAGTACGTTGACATGCGAGTTGAGTAATCGCTCACTGGAGACAATTGATGGTCACTGGCCACATGTTCGCCAGACCTTACTATCAGCGGGCAAATCCTCATGTGGTATGTATTAGCCAACATGGACATTGGGTCTCTTCTCGGTCTCTGGAACTTATCGACGCTCGCCGGCATATCCCGGCTGGAAGCGAACACTGGAGACAATTGAGGGTCACTGGTCACATGTTCGCCAGACCTTACTATCAGCGGGCAAATCCTCATGTGGTAGGTATTAGCCAACATGGACATTGAGTCTCTTCTCGGTCTCTGGAACTTATCGACGCTCGCCGGCATATCCCGGCTGGAAGCGAACACTGGAGACAATTGAGGATCACTGGTCACATGTTCGCCAGATCTTACTATCAGCGGGCAAATCCTCATGTGGTAGGTATTAGCCAACATGGACATTGAGTCTCTTCTCGGTCTCTGGAACTTATCGACGCTCGCCGGCATATCCCGGCTGGAAGCGAACACTGGAGACAATTGAGGATCACTGGTCACATGTTCGCCAGATCTTACTATCAGCGGGCAAATCCTCATGTGGTAGGTATTAGCCAACATGGACATTGAGTCTCTTCTCGGTCTCTGGAACTTATCGACGCTCGCCGGCATATCCCGGCTGGAAGCGAACACAATGAAACTCGCAAAGAGCTCCGGGCAAGACTCCGCGCTAGCCTGAAGAGAGACCGGGAAACGGGCAGCAGGAGACCTGGTGTAAGTGAAACAATTTGTGATGAGAGTGGACAGCCTATGCATAATTTGTCACAACGTTTGGAGCGTTGGGCTGAGCATTTTGAAAAGCAATTTAATCGGCTAGAATTGTTCGATTCGCCGGTCACTGATCGCCCTGCTCCGTGGGCTGTCCCTTTGGATCTGCCCTCTTGCTCAGAAGTCGAACGTGAGATCGGACTGTTGAAGTTGAACAAAGCCGCGGGACCAGATGATCTTCCTCCAGCCCTCTTCAAATTCGGAGGCTCTGCTCTTGTTGATGCTTTACATGAATTACTAGTGAAACTGTGGGCGCAGGAGACTGTCCCAACCGACTGGAGCCGCTCCGTTATTGTTCCCATCTTCAAAGGCGACTCGCGCTCGGAATGCGGCAACCATAGAGGAATCAGTCTGCTCTCCATCGCCTCCAAATTACTCGCCTCCATAATTCTTCACAGACTGACTGGCGCTCGTGAAAGCCAGATTTGTGAGGAGCAAGCTGGGTTTCGTCGTGGTCGTGGCTGCATCGACCACATCTTCACCTTGCGTCAGTTGTTGGAGCACCGTCACACATATTGGCGGCCCACCGTTGTCATGTTCCTCGACATCAGCGGTGCCTTCGATTCGGTTGATCGATGTGCCCTTTGGAATTGTCTACTCAGGAAAGGTGTGCCCGAGAAATATGTAAATGTTATCCAAGCATTATATGCGCGTAGCACGGGCAGAGTGAGGGCTGACGGCAAGCTGTCGTCACCCTTCAATATCTCCAGCGGTGTGAGACAAGGATGCCCGCTGTCACCTTTCCTCTTCAACTTCGCTATTGACGAAGCCATGGAGTTCGCATTTACAGGACATGACTTGGAAGGTGTGGAGCTACTCCCAGGAGAACGACTTCTTGACTTGGAGTATGCAGACGACATTGCCCTAATCTGTGACAGCTCCCAGACGTACCAAGCCGCGCTGGACAGATTAGCACTGGCTGTCAGCTGCTTCGGGCTTTGCTTTGCAACATCGAAGTGCAAAGCATTCCTCCAAGATTGGCAGGGATTGCCTCCTGCGCTGACCCTTGGTGGGGATCAGCTAGAAGTCGTTCGGAAATTCAACTACCTGGGAAGTTGTATCAGCGCCCTTGGGATCGAAGACGAGATCACGAACCGTAAAGCGAAAGCTCGAAGTGCTTTTGCTAACCTTCGCCACCTATGGCGGCGGCGCGACATTACTCTCGCCTTGAAGGGTAGAGTGTACAGTGCAGCGGTACGTTCGGCCCTACTGTACGGTTGCGAAACCTGGCCCCTAAGATCGGCGGACATGAAGAGGCTAGTTACGTTCGACCACCGGTGCCTTCGCAGTTTGGCTCACATATGGTGGGAACACCACGTGAGTAACGAGCGTGTTCGACGCATTGTTTACGGCCCAGGAAAATGATCTGAACCGCTCAGCACCGTTATTTCCTGCATCAGTCTCCGATGGCTCGGCCACGTGTTACGGATGCCAGCCCACCGACTACCTCGACGTGCGTTGTTTGCTCACCGGGGATGTGGGTGGAAGAAGAGGAGAGGTGGCCAAGCGATGACTTGGTCCAGGGGAATGAAGTCCCTCACTTCGGAGCTAGCCTCGGTTGGAGCGTCACGGCTCCCTGGTTGGGGTCTATAATACGGTGAACACGTTTGGCTGGATACACTTGCTGACATGGCAAGGAGCCGACCTCAGTGGCGTTCATGCTGTGAGTTTCTTTGTCCCTCCCCATCCCTTTTAGCCCCCCCTCCATCTACGATCTCATTTCGTAGAGTAAAACATAATTTTTTCTTTTTGCTTAGTAGCTGGTAGCTCAGCTGGTATGCAACTGTTGTATCTATTTTTCCTTTGTGTTTTGTGTTATGTGTATGCATGTATGTATTTCCTTCATGTATTGCGGCACAACAGCGGAGGTGTTTTCCTACCTCTAGCTAACGTGTATAATGATGATGATGATGATGTGGGTGGTGCTGCGCAAGCCACCCCATGATCCCTCTGTAGGCGCAGGCGTCCTGTATTTGTCCTATGGAGGGCACTGTGACAGGCAAATCCGAAACCGCATACCACCAACTATGTTACGCTTTAGGCATTGTGTTCTGACCATTGCTCTTACGGATCTAGTTTTTGAGTTCACGCACTGATGGTGAAGCTCCATGTCGAAGGGTGTTATTAAACTGCCTAAATTGCTGTTTTTTCACGTAAGTCACGAGACTTATCCTGTCGATGACCAGGCGCTCTGTCTTTTTATACTACTGAGGAATCAACGGCACTTGCAATTTTTATTTTGGTCCCCGTAAATTATCCTCCCTTTCGGTTTCTTGCTTCTTGTTACGCCTTCGTTTTTTGTTTCAACTTTGATCTACATTTAATTTCTATAGCTTGCTAGATAAAACTGAACCCGCTAAACTTGAATGTTCATTTCATGACTGGCAATATGGAACCAACCATACTGAATACACATGTTTTCTCTTCATTTTCCATTCGAAAATTGTAGGTTTATTCAGAGAGACACTATGAGCCCTTCTCGCTATCGGTATGCTTTGGGAATCGAAGTTTTCAAACGTTTCCACTGAGCGAAACCACCATGAACACACAGCAAAAATCGTTCTCAGTTCCATAGGGAGGTTTTACATTAGAAGCACAGAACTGCACATTCAAGGTTCTACTCCACTCCCATGACCAGCACTTCGGCACCGGGCGATCTCAATGTCGCATCTTCATTGAAGACTGAAAATCAACACCTTTTATACGATACACTTCCACCACAATCATGTAAATCTGAAACAGTCTCTACGGACCAGGCTGAAATCTCTAATGAGTTAAAACGCGCATCTTCAAAACACACTTCCTTTTGGTTTAATGTTCCAAACACGTTCCCCAAATCTCCTTTCTCGACTACTACTCATAAAAAATCCGGTACGATCATCAGTGACACTTCAGCACGAAATGTGGAAGAACACCCGACACTGTTCCTGCCCTACGCTACATCTGTGGATATCAACAATGACTGTAAGTGGGATAACAAGAAAGTTATTTGCTCACTTAAATTGGATAATTTCGAACGCTGAGCTCGTTATTGTTTGATGTTCGGTTTTTGTTACCTTGTTTCATCGCGTCTGTCAATCTTCTGATAGTGGGTTTATTTAACTGCTTTCCACTCCGCGCTTGAATCGTTACGGTCATTTAAGCGATTCCTATGGTTTCAGTATCATTTGTGATTACATAATACTATCCTACTGACAACAATAGTTTAGTTAGTCAGTTGATCAACTATGATCCTAGCACCAAAGTGCGATGGATCCAGTTGCCACGACTCACATTGTAAGAATACCACTAATTAACCCCGGTAGGATAGTGGGGTTGGGTGCAAATAAAATGTAGAGAAAATGACAGCAAGAAGGGAATGCGTTAGAGCAATCAGAATCATCATCATCATCATCATTACACGTTAGCTGGAGGTGGAAAACACCTCAGCTATTGTGCCGCAATACAAAAGGCAAGAAAAGAAAAAACAAACAAACATTGGCACGCCCGCTGAGTCCCCAGTAACGGATGGACATCGTTCCGGAGAGCTAACAGCTGGCTGCCGTAAAAGAAAGTCATATTATGCCTAACGATTGAGATCGTGATTGGAGGGGGATGCTAAACAGGAGGGGGATGGACAAAGGAACTCACAACACAAACGCCATTGGGGCCGGCTCCTAGCCATATCAGCAAGTGTGTCCAGCCAAACGTGTTCACCGTCCTTAGGACCCCAGCCAGGCAGTCGGGATGCACCAACCGACGCCAACTTCGAAGTGAGGGTTTTCATTTCTCGCGACCAAGTCATCACTTGGCCTCCCCTCCTCCTCTTCCAACCGCACCCACAACGCGCAAACAATGCACGTCGTGGGAGTCGGTGTGCTGGCATGCGCAAGACGTGGCCCAGCCATCGGAGCCTGGTGCGTGAAATAATCGTGCTGAGCGGTTCACTCGCTCTTCCTGCACCAAATACGCGACGTCGAACACGCTCATTGCTCACGCGGTGTTCCCACTAGACATGAGCTAAGCTGCGAAGGCAGCGATGATCGAACGTGACGAGTCTCTTCATGTCTGTCGACTTGATGGGCCAGGTTTCACAGCCATATAGGAGAGTTGAACGGACGGCTGCGTTGTAAACTCTGCCCTTGAGGGCGAGAGTAATGTCGCGTCTGCGCCACAGGTGGCGGAGATTGGCAAAAGCACCTCGAGCTTTTGCTATACGGTTCGTAACCTCATCTTCAATCCCACGGGTGCTAATATAGCTGCCCAGGTACTTGAATTCCTGAACGACTTCTAGCAGATCACCACCAAGCGTTAGCGCAGGATTGGGTCCCTGCCAATCTTGGAGAAGTACTTTGCATTTTGATGGAGCAAAGCATAGCCCAAAACGACTGACAGCCAGTGCTAATCGGTTCAGTGCTGTTTGGCATGTTTGGGAGCCGTCACAGATTAGGGCAATATCGTCTGCATACTCCAAGTCAAGAAGTCGCTCACCAGGGAGTAGCTCCACACCTTCTAGGTCGTGTCCAGCGAACGCTGTTTCCATGACTTCATCAATAGCGAAGTTGAAGAGGAAAGGTGACAGCGGGCATCCTTGTCTCACACCGCTGGTGATACTGAAGGGTGGCGAGAGTTTGCCATAAACCCTCACCCTGCCCGAACTATGTGCGTACAGCGCTTTGATAATGTTTACATATTTATCAGGCACACCTTTCCTCAACAGACAGTCCCAAAGGGCACATCGATCGACTGAGTCGAAGGCACCTTTATGTCAAGAAACACGACAACGGTGGGTCGCCAATAAACATGGCGGTGCTCCAACACTTGACGCAATGTGAAGATGTGGTCGATGCAGCCCCGACTTCGACGAAATCCGGCTTGCTCTTCACGAATTTGGCTTTCACGAGTGCCAGTCAGTCTGTGGAGAATGAAAGAGGCAAGCAATTTAGAGGCAATCGAAATCAGACTGATCCCTCTATGATTGCCACATACCAAACGGGAGCCTTCCTTGAAAATTGGGACAATGACGGAGCGGTTCCAGTCTGTCGGGACTGTCTCCTGCTCCCAAAGTTTTACTAGCAACTCGTGTAGATCACCTATTAGAGCAGGTCCACCGAACTTGAAGAGGGCTGGAGGAATAGTATCTGCTCCTGCGGCCTTATGCAATTTCAACAGCCTGATCTCACGTTCGACTTCTGCGCGTGAGGGCGGATCCAAGGAGACGGCCCAAGGAGAAGGACGCTCAATGCCCGAAGAAAGTGATAACTCAGGTTGGTTAAATTGCATAGCAAAGTGTTCAGCCCAACGCTCCAAGCGTTTTGACAGGCTGTGGATCATCTGCCCACTCTCGTCGCGTATGGACTCGCTAACACCAGGTCTCCTGCTGCCTGTTGCCCGTATCAGACGGTATAACTTACGATGATTACCAATGGCAGCGGCTGTTTCCATCTCAGAGGCACGATGAGACCACCAGGTTTCACGGTCCTTCTTTAGGCTAGCACGTAGTTTCGCCCTGAGATTTTTGCGAGCTTCATTGTATTCGCTTCCAGCCGGAATACGTCGGCGAGCATCCATAAGTTCCAGAGACTGTGTAGAGACCCAATGTCCGGTTTTGCAATTTGTTTTGCCACATGAAGACATGCCTGCTAATAGCAACGCTTGACGAGTGTGCGACCAGTGATCTTCAACGGTGTTTAGTGGGCGCTTACTCAGCCCAGATGTCAGCGCATCTTGGTACACATTCAGAACATCTGGCTTCGCCAGCTGGCTAGTGTCAATCCGTTCACATCGACGTCGCGGACGTCAACCGAAACGCACCAGGAGGTCGGCACATACAAGTGCGTGGTCAGAGTCCACGCTCGTGCTCCAAATCGAGCGACGGTTTTGGACACAGCCTCTCCAGCGGTAACTGATCGCGATATGATCGATTTGCGTCCATGACTGGCCCGAGGCTGGTGGCCGCCAAGTCACACTTCTGCGGGTGCTGTGTCGAAAATTAGTGCTCGCGAGAAACAGGCGAGCATCTTCACACAGCTGGAGCAATCACTCACCATTATCATTACGGGAGCCTACACCATGTTGGCCGCCCAGATGAAGCTCATCAGAGGACAATTTTCCGACTTGGGCGTTTAGATCGCCAGCCAGCACCACAGTATCCGTGCTTCTTCTGTAAGGAAGGAGCTCGTGAAGTTGCTGGTAGAAATCATCTTTTACTGATTGCTACGCAATCAGAATGCAACGAAACTTAACAACCAGATGAAATGAACTGAATGTAGGAACGCCACTGATTGTGTGACTGCGCCATGTTTGATAGTCTCCAACCATTGGTGTGAACTATACCGAGGCCCGCATCCAGGATCTCGGCATGCACCGGCCTGACCAAGTCTGTCAGTTAATTTCTTCAAGCTTCTATGCCATGTCATGGACTGACCACCTCGCGGTTTCACCCAACTTGGTGCAGCGATGGTGTATAATGCACGCCGAGGAAATCGATCATCGGACATACAGAGTACATGGTCTAGCCAACATAAGCGATTAAAATTTAGCAAACACTTGAGCGAGGCCCCAAATGGCTTCTTTCCAAAAATCAACTGGCGGGTCTCAGCATTGCTCAGTTGAAATTCCCACCAGACGTGAGCAATACTCCGCAAACATCAGTGTTCAAGCATGGCCAAGAGTGCGGCTTATATCAGCCGTCGGCAATGGCGCGTCAGAGGCGCGTCAACCGCGAGGTAAAGTGCATTAGTGAAGCCTGCGGGTGAATAGCAGATGAGGATGAGTGAAGAGTGATACGACGCCAGGCTCACTAACACGTAGCAGTACTTTTTGACAGTTAGTGGGTAAACATGGGGTCACCAAAACATTGAAATCAATGGAAGCTACGGGTGTCATAAAAAGCAAACTGAACATTACACGGTGTATTCCTTTTTGTCCAACCCGAAGAAGGAATTCAACTTGGACGACGCCACCTCTAGCCTTAGACCCTACGGGACGAAGTCAGAAAGTCGCTTCTAATGGGAGTTCGTGACCGAGTTCCTAGTTCATACGCCTTTGATCCTGTCACTTGCCAAAAGGGACCCAATCGTCCCTACAGTTTCAGCATTTATCCGCTCCCCAAAGGTACGGGGCTGTGACTTTGGTTAGTGGCTGATCACATCCACCACGTTGCCATGTTCTTAAAAGGACATTTGTGGCCTTTCATAGAGACAGTGCTTGTCAAGCGCAAAGTCACCGCATGTTAAACCATTTCCACCTCAACATCTGCTCGAATGGGATAAACCTGAACCGCCCAGCCGTCACCACGAATAGGTGGTTCGCGAAACCACTAAGGAGAAAGTGACTGAACACTGAAACAAGTTAGCAGTTAGAGATCAGACATACAAACAAAATACGGTGTTACGAACACTAAATGGTGACTATTTTCCTTTCACTGAACTTCTCCTCTTACGGATCTGCTCGTGCGAAGTTTTAGTCGACGTTTCAAATGGGTAGAGGCCAACGCATAGTGGGTAACTGTAAGAGGGTGGCCAACACCGGAGTCATAGAGAAAGTGCCGTTGCGATGAGACGGGCCCTTAACGTGCTGCAAACGCGTATGTAGCTCATCGACCCATTGAATTATACTGAATGGTGCCCTCTTGCTTCATGAGAGTTACTCCTATCACATTAGTCAACGCCCAGACGTCAGACAATTGCAGTTTCCTGGTTCAGCTCAGCCCACCCACACAGTTGTCAACCGAGCGCCAAAGTGCGGTGAATTCAGTTGCTACTACTCGCGTCGCTAGCGTAACAATAAATAACCGTGATAAGTGAATGAGGTTGAACACAAAAGGAATCTAAAAAAGCATTAATGAAATATACGCAGCTAACCTGGATGGAATGTTAACAGATGGATGCAAGAAACCGAATGTAGGAGCGCCACTGAATGCGTGACTGCGCCATATCCGTCAGGGCCTCCAGCGACCAATCTAAGCCGTCCCCTAACCCCCA